TCTCCTCTAAGAAGTTGATTAAATTTTTTTCAGAGGAACAACCTTTCAAAATTTGATAAATGAAAGGATTCTTGATTCAACAACAATCTTTGCAAAACTACTCATCCAAGCTTTTGGACCAATTTTCTCAAATACAATAGTACATATCTTGTATTCAACCAAAAAAAGTTTCTTAACAACCAACTCCAAATGCTTTCCCCATTCCATGTGCAACCTTAAACTCAGTTGTTGAAATCTCAAGATAGCTCAAATCCAAAGTCTTAAAACTTCTCCGAGCATTCGTTTCACGAACTTCAACATGCATACCTCGACACTTTCCTAGCCTATTATTTGCTTTTAATCTCTCAGCGATAACTTGTAACTTCTTTGTTAAAGAACTTGGAAATTCCAAACCTTGGTTTCCATCGTTGTTTTGCGAATCAACGTGTGATGTTAATCAAACTAAAGGAAGAGGCAAAGTTTGCTATTAGAAGTTTGTGAAAAGCAATCTCTAGTTTGTCAAGGGAAGTGCTAAGATTTCCTCCATAAAAGGACGACAATTCTTGCAATATTCTCAAGGATTAATTAACATTCAATAGGTAAGAGTCATTGTACTAATTGTTGTTTAATTTTGTGAGTGATAAAAAACACTCTTCAACCAACCTGATGCTAACTTACAATTATCAGTGAGAAGTTTCAATACTTCTTCAAAATTCTTCATGTTTGACATATATTTGAATAAATCGGAACTCAGGTCAGTGGAAAGAGAATGTTTCAACTGAGTAACACATTCAAACACCTTGTGAACTGCTGAAACAGAACATAGAACACTGTCTATACCATGTTCAGCATCAGAAAATAGGAGGTTTTGAATTTGAGATTAGTTTAAGTGAAGTTTGCATGGATAAAAATCTTCGGTTCCATTGTCCGAATTGGGAGAATAATTTTGATTCTACACATATCCAAAGATTTATATTTTTTTATAGTTTAGAAATTATTGATGAAAAACGATAAATCCGAGACCAAACTTTCTTTTCATTTTCATTTTCGACTTTTGTTCATTTTTTATTTCTTTTGTCATTTTTTAGTCAATGACGAAATTTTACAAGTTGTTATCATTCAAACTATTGATAGATGACAATTTATCCGAAACTATTTTAATTTCTTCTCCATTTTCCATTTTTATTTATTTTTTCGATATATGATGTCTTTCGATTCGTAAACGCCGTTTTATCGAAGTCGATAACCTTCTCGATTTCAAATATATGGAAAATGACCATTTGAGTCATTTTCTTTACTTTGGGATCGTGATAGGCTACCTTCGATTAATCAACATAATATTTGCGATAAAGACAAGATCCTACCTTCTTTTGTCTGTGCGACACAATTAAATTGGAGAATGGTTGTCAATATCATTTCTCCATCTTGTTTTAACACAGATATCAACTCAGGTGACCTCCTATAGTTCGAGTTTCATCATAAGTTTAGCGTTACATTTGTTCGATTTAATTCCTAAACAAACTAACCACTAACTTTAATTTCCGTCAAATATCAACTGCTTTAAATTTCAGTCAAATATTATTATGGATATTATTGTTATATTATCTCGCCATATTTATTCATACTCATATCATATTCTTCATCTATTCACCCATATTCAAAAACACATAATAAACTATCAAAACGCTAAAAGCCAAATTGGTGGACTGTTGGATCATTGGTCATTTAGAGGAACCCTAGTTTGGAGTTGTGCCCGACTTTAGCTCAAGGCGTAGTTTATGACACATTTCACACACACGACTTTCTCTTGGGCTACCTGACAATGAGACCCTTTGATTTCGTGCAATCCCGTGTAAATTACATGTACCCATATCTCATTCCGATGTATGTTTCATATTTCTTTGATTGTATTTTATCTTCTAGGAGCACCCTTAGGGACTAGCGTAGATCAACTATTTTCAAACTAATTCTCGATTCGTCATCGAGCCATTTTCAAACACCCCTCGTAAGTCGAGTGATTGTCCGCGTTCGCCATCAACCTATTACACACACTTCACCGTGATTTCGATATTGGGGGCACCCTCAGGGACTAGTATCGTTTCTCACAACTTAACCATTGATGCGTAAGTCAAGCTGGTTCCATTCTCAAACCAAACCCTCAACTCGTCGTCGAGCCATTTCTCAAACCATTTCCATTCCAACATGTTTTGCACGCGAAAATATGTAAAACCCTTGATCCAACGTCAAACGGATTTTCATAATCAAATTATTAATCAATTATCAATTATCTAATTCTTTTCAAGGTGTAAAGAGTGAGATCAAGTCTTTGATCTTGCTTTCAGTTGTTTGGATGTGAGTTATCTTATTCGTGTGTGAGCAATTGGCGCCTCCAATAACATTAACAAACTCGACAATGTTCAACCATCGTCCAACTACTCATCATTTCAAATACCACTCAAACAACTTTCTTTTTGTGATGAAAAAGGAAGATAGTCAAGTCTTTGACTCGTTCTCCCGGTTACTTGGGTCCGAGAAGTCTTTCTTAAGCTTCGAGTAATCGTCATCCGATACCAACCACTCATTATTTAAACATCATTCAAACACAACTTCTTTTGAGATGAAAAAGAGAGATAGTCAAGTCTTTGACTCGCTCTCCCGATTACTTGGGCCTGAGAAGTCTTTCTTAAGCTTCAAGTAATCGTCATCAGTTCAAACTCATCCTTTCAACTACAACCTTATCTTCAAAGATGAAAAAGAGAGATAGTCAAGTCTTTGACTCGCTCTCCTGATTACTTGGTTCCGAGAAGTCTTTCTTAAATTTTGAGTAATCGTCATTCGTACCCACTTCAAACCAATTCAATCCTGTTTCTTTTTGTGGTCGTTACCACGAACTACAGACGCTTTGATTCTTTATTCACTCTTGAATGTAAGATACGTAGGCACAAGATTGCGATCTTGGCGAGCACACTTCCATCTTCCTCCGTTTTTTCATCCACATTTCCCTCCATCTTCCGTTTCCCCCATCCTTTCCCGTACAACGCTCTGATTTCTCATTCTCGTCCAAATGAGCATACGTAGTCACAAGGGCCCAAATCCTTGGCGAGCACTCTATCCCATAAACCATCCCCTTTCCCCTAACGTTTTTATCCCCTTATAGTATCGATTTAGTATTTAGAATTGAGAAGAGAAGAACTAAGCTTAGCTAACATTTATCACAATCCGAATTAAGAGGTTCCCGTTGAGTATAACGGACGTGAGGAGTGCTAATACCTTCCTCTTGCGTAACCGACTCCCGAACTCATGAACATCAGGTTGCGACGTCCGTGTTCCTTTTCGTTTTTAAAGATGTTTTCTTATATTTTCCTCTCCCATTTATTCGGGATAAATAAAGTTCGGTGGCGACTCTGTCGAACTGCATTTCCGCGCCTTTAGCGCGAGGGTCATTTCTCCGAATTATCTTAGTGATTTTTCGAGGTGCGACACAAAGTTGTAAGTTAGAAAGATGGCACTGCTCTTTTCATTGGAAAGAGGAAAAACAACATTTACAAAATTAAACATTCTGATCTTAAAAATCAAGATGTTAAATGCTTAATGTGTGTGGCATAAACACTAGGGTCACATTAGTATGAGAAGAAATTTTCAAATAAACAAACTTGAGTTAGTTAGAGGCCCACCTAAACTGAAGTTTACTTCAGATGCTCTTTGTGAAGTGTGTCAAAAGGGCACGTTTTCAAAAACATCTTTTAAATCTAAGAATGTTGTTTCCACCTTTAGACCTTTGGAGCTTCTACTCATTAACTTGTTTGGTCTTGTAAAAATAACGTCTGTCAATGGTAAGAAGTATGGACTTGTCATCGTGGATGATTGCAGTTAATGGACATGAGAAAAATTCCTAAGGCACAAGAATGAGTCACACTCTGTGTTTATCACTTTTTGTTCTAAATTTAATTTTGAGAACTAAAATTTTATTACAGATTAAATTTAATATTATAAACAAAATTGTTTTTTTTTTCTTTTTCATTCCACCATTGGTGGTCTATATATAGATATAAACTAGATATATTAAAAGCTATTTTTTTAATAAAACTTATATAATGACTGAAAAGAAATAATAGATTTTAATATATTTTAAATAAATATATAAATATTATATACTCCTACTTTAACTTATTATGATTATATTCAACAATTTAATTTCGAATATTAAAATGTTATTAAAGATTAAATTTGTATTATAAATAAATTGATTTTGTTCATTCAATCATTGATGTATATATAGATATAAACTAGATATATTAAACACATAAGAAAAATCAATTTTAATTATAAAAATGACCGAAGAGAAATAATAGATTTTAATATACTTTAAAGATTAAATCTATTAATATCTTATACCTTAATGTTATTTATTATAATTATATAGCATACAATTAAATTGAAGGAAAAGACATATTTTTTCTATTTGATTTATTTGATAGACCAAAATTTAGTAACCATTGACGGGTTATAAAAATTATATAGGATATCAATTTTTTTGTTGTTGAGAAAAACTATATAGTATACCATTAAATAGAAGCAAAAGAGGTAGTTTTTTTAAATTTAATATATGATTTATTTGAGTGAACATACTAACCATTTAATCCTCAGAACTAAACGGATTATAAAAACACATTTATTATTTTTCTTAAATTGATGTTAAATTAATTAAAAAAATCTGTTATAATAAATATTTGTATTTGAGAAAAAAATTTGTTTTTTTTTTGTTTTGTTATGGAAGGTATAAATAACCTATTTTTCATTATTTTTCTTAAATTAAAAGTAAATTAATTTAATAAAAATGTAACGATAAATATTTGTGTTCCAAAAAAGATTTTATTTTGTATGAAATGTTTAAATAACCTATTTTTCTGTAAGGTAAAAACAAACCTCCTTTGAATGTGCCTTTTTTTCCTTGAGTTTGTTACTTTTACTTATTATATATATCATCATTGACTTAACCTAACCTTCACAAATTTGGTCCAATGAATATGAAAAGGAAAAGAAAATCTCTCAAATTTTCAAAACAAGAATCATTTTATTTACCTGATGAGTGTTGGGAATTGGTGTTTAAATTCCTGAAAGACGATGATGAAGACAATTTGAAGTTTCTCTCACTTGTTTCAAAACAGTTCTTTTTCATCACCAACCGTCTTCGATCATCTCTCACTCTTTACTATCCATTCCGCCCTAACCTTTTCCAAAGATTCACCGATCTGATATCCCTGAATCTCACCTGCTTCCACGGTGACCTCAACACGTTTCTCTCACAAATCTCTTGTTTTCGGTTGAACCTTACATCACTCGATCTCTCCAACAAACCCACAATTCCCGCCAATGGATTGAGAATTTTCTCCAAAAATATTACAACCTTGACCTCTCTCACTTGTTCCAACTTATATTCTTTCAAGACCAATGACCTCTTACTCATTGCCGATTGTTTTCCTTTACTAGAAGAACTCAACCTCAGTAATCCCGCTAAATGCCGCGGCAAGTTCCTCAAAAAGCTAGAAGCTCTTTCACTTGCACTTTTCAAACTCCGCAAGGTTGATCTCTATGGTCATAAATATATCAATGATAAAATGATTTTCCAATTGTTTAAGAATTGCAAGCATCTAGAAGAGGCCAACCTGCTTTGCTGTTTCAAAATAACTACTACAGGCTTTGCTTTAGCTCTCTCCGAGAGACCATCCTTGAGGTCTTTCTCCTTTTCCACACCTTTCAGTGACTCGGTGGTCCGTGACTCGGTGGTGCGTTTGAAGAGTTTGACTTGTCTTCATTTGTTGGGTTCTATTATTTCTAATGACTTGTTATCCAGTATTGCAAAGGAAGGTCTGCCTTTGAGGACAATTATCCTCCAAAATTGTCCCGGCTATAGTTATGTTGGGATCTTTAATTTATTATCCAAGTGTCAACATATACAACATTTGGATCTTCAAAATGCTGGTTTTCTGAATGATCAACATGTTGTTGAATTGTCACTGTTTCTTACTGATTTGGTGTCTATAAACCTTAGTTATTGTAAGAAGCTCACAAAAGCAGCACTGTTTGCACTTGTTAGGAACTGTCATACACTTGATGAGATCCAAATGAGAGGTATTGGACGGAAGAGTATACATAATACTAATTCTTGGATACACTCTGATGTATACCCTCAATTAAAGTATCTCTATTTATCTTATAATTCATGGTTAACTGACGAAGGCATCACAGCGTTTGCTTCTATTTTTCCTAATTTGCAGCTTTTTGATGTGAATGATTGTGAAAACATTTCTGAAGAAGGTATTGGTCAAGTTTTAAGGAGATGTTTTAATATTAAACAACTAAACTTAGCCAATTGTTCAAAAGTGAAAACACTTGGAAGAAATTTTGGAGTTTCTAAATTAGAGGTGTTGAATTTGTCGGATACTCAAGTTGATGATGAAGCACTCTATGTGATCTCAAAATGTTGTCGTCAACTTTCGCAACTGAACCTTAAATGGTGTGAATATGTCACCGAGAAAGGAGTGAAGCATGTGATAAATAATTGCGCATACATGAGAGAGATCAACTTGAGGGGTTGTTTTAAAGTGCATTATAGCTTTGTTGCGTCAATGGCATTAAGACCATCATTGAAAAAGATAACAACTCCATCCCGTTATGAATTGAATAAGAAAGAGAGAAAACTCTTCTCGCAACACGGATGCCATGTTTGTTAAGATTAGGCGACTTCCTTGCTGAAGAAAGTTAATGTGTATATAATTTTGTTTGCAAGTCATATTTGATTTCTATTTTGATTCAACATGCAGATCAACCCTCTGATTTATTACTATGGTTTGGTGTCAGTAATATTGTATTTGCAGCATTTCATTCTCATTAGTGTTTTTATTCATTTGTATTTTTATTCAAATTTTTTCCTATTTGTTCCTTGGTGTTACAATATTATGCTTGCTGCATCTCTAAGTATTATGGTTGAATATTAGTACAAAATGTGTCAACCCAAACCAAACTTGGTAGGTGTATACACATACACACAGAATAAGAATACTAGTGTACGGAATAGTTTATTATAAAATCAGTGTTTTTGCTTTTACTGTCAAAATATGTTGTAATGTTTTAGATTAATCATTAATGTATACTAAGTTCACTTTCTTTGTTGGTTCAATTAGCAACATAGGAAATAAGTTATTATTTCATTATATTGTTTTGATCCAAAATGAAGCTGTCTTTCAAAACATTAAACAGACTTAACTACATAATGGGAGGCAAAGAAAGTCTTCTTCGTTTGCACAATATGCACTTCAACTTTTACTCGATATGAGTTTGGTAGTACAAATTCTGAAGGAAGATCTGTTTAAGTAATCATTTATCCATAGAGGAAAAGAGCTCATAACATGCTCACCTCATGTTGTTTCTCATCATAATCGACCTAATAAGTCTGATGAGCAGAAATTACTTATCCATCGGACATGTATTAAATATGATTGAGGAAAATGTTAGATGATGACACTGATTTAGAATGGAGGTTGAATAGATTAATAATTTTTAATAATAATTTGTGTTTAAAAAATTGGTTTAAAAATGTGCGGAAGCGGTCTTAGATTAAAACTCGTCTAAATGAACCCCGTTATTGATAAAGATCGGATATGCGAAACCAAATGAAATAATATTTTCGTCCTCGCTTCAGGTACGCCTGCGCCAATTCTAAAATTAAAATTGAGATATGTATAGTATCTGTTTGCAAAATTTTGTACAACAGAAGTTCTAGCTACCATACAATCAAACCTAATTGTTGATGTTGATTCTATCCGCTTCTCTCCCCTTGATTCCAGCTGAATCAAGAACATCAAACTCTTTGAACAAACTGATTCTATCCGCTTCTCTCCCCTTGATTCCAGCTGAATCAAGAACATCAAACTCTTTGAACAAACCTCTGGTTACCGCTACTCACTTGATTGAACCTTCCGTTCGTCAAGTCTTTCACTCGGCTGATTTCGATCGCAAGACGTTTGACCCTAAATCTTTCAATACAATCATCCGGTTACCGCTACTTCCTTAACTGAGCCCACTGTTCTTCAAGGCTTTCACTCGACTGAATCTGTAATGCAAAAATTTGTGCAAAAAACCTCCCAAATCACCAAGATCTTGGAGGACAAAACCCCAATGATTTAATTCAAAAAAATCCCACTGATTCTAAACCCAAACTTGATATATAAATCGTAAGTTTAGACGTTATCACTCTTAAACAAAACACAAATAAATAAAGATGATTATGTCTGATTATTTATGAATGCAGTTTGTGAGAGTGAAAATGAAGAGCAATGCAATGTATTTTTCAATTTTCTTCTTTGTTCATGTACAAAATGGTGCATATGAATATATATATATATATATATATATATATATATATATATATATATATATATATATATATATATATATATATATATATATATATATATATATATATATATATATATATATATATATATATATATATATATATATATATATATATATATATATATATATATATGAGCATGAAAGAATAACAGAAAAAACAGGCTTTAGAAACACAAAGATGCAGAAAAATGAGTGAAAACGCGTGAGAGGTCGACCTATAGAAGATGTGTGTCGACCTGAGCAAGACAGAATACAAATCTGCATACAAGAAGACTGTGCGTCGACCTGCAGTAAGAGCATGCATCGACGCATGAAGGCCAAAAAGTTTCAAATTTGTTTCTTACAGTATGCATCAACCTACACAAGAGCCATGTGACGCATACATGGCTAAGACTTTTTTCACACTTTTTCATACCAGTGTGCATCGATCTAAAGATATCCTAGGTCAACGCAAGCTTGCCAGAATTTTTCAAACATAATTTTTCTTTATTGTGAGTCGACTTATATCATGTGTGAGTCTATGTGCTCGTTTTCAATCAGATCCAAGGGAAACATCAAAATACAAGCTATTAGGTTTCTGTGATGAATATTACGCATGAGACATATTAGAACGTAAAAGCACCTCTGGAAACTGTCAGTTTCTGGGTAACAATCTTGTCTCATGACTAGCAAAAGATAATCAACTATTTTATTATCTACAACTAAAACTGAATACATCTCAGCATCACTTTGTAGCGCTCAGATGCTTTGGATGAAAAATCAACTTGAAGGCTTTCAGATACATGAGAGTAACATTCATATCTTCTAGATAACACGACTGCTATTTGCCTAAGTAAGAATCATATTTTAATCCTTAGAGCCAAACACATCGAAATCAAATATCATTTTATTAGAGACTATGTTTAGAAATCGAAAATCTCTTTAGAATTCATAGAAACAGGCGCCCAATGGGTTGATATCTTCACAAAATTCTTAGCTAAAGATAGATTTATGTTCATTCTGAAAAATTTAAAAATGGAACTCTGTTCAGAATGAACTTTCTTTTCTAATGTGTTCAACTCTAACTAAAATAGTGATTCTGACTTGTGCAAATACTTTTATATTCTTCTAACTCAACGATATTTTTACAATGTTAGGAAGTGTTTTGGTCAGAACTATCTCAAGTCAGAAAACCTTTTGGTATTTTTGACTCTAAAAGCATCTAAACTGTGTATTTTAAAACGTGTGGCTGTGATTTGTCTTAAGACACCTGTCCATTTCAAATTATTTGCTACCCATTGAAATGACACCTCGAACAATGAGATATCTTGAGATTAGATTTAAAATCATTATTATTGATTATTACTCTCCTTAATTTTTTAATTGTTTTTTCATTTAGAGTTCACACCGTGTTGTTGACGGTTGATTCCCTTTTCTGATTTAGTAATATCAAATATATTTTAAAGTTTAAATTTATTTGTACCAAATATATAAACAAATCTATAAGTATCATATACTTTATACGTTATTTATTATAATTAATATAGTATACCTTTAAATTGAAGTAAAAGATCTCATTTTTATTTAATTAATATGGAATTTTTTTTAAAGTAGCAATGTTATGTAATTTAATTACCAAATAAAACAAGGTTTCAAAAAAATTACCAAAATGACAAACTTTGAAACTCATCCAGCAAGCATTCGCCAAATGGTTTGGCGAATTAGTGTAAACCCATAATTTCGACAAGACCATAATTTCGACAAGATTAAAATTCAGGCTTTAAGGTCATCTTTGTCGAAGGATAGCATCAGGAGGAGAATCCAAGAATTGCTGACAAGGTTTTAAAGTTTCATTGTTTCGACAGAAATAGATATAATGTTCTGGCAGAATAGTTTGGAGAGTTTGTGACTGAGGGCTTCGACAGAAGAAGTTTGTTAAAAAAAGATAAGGTTTGGCAAGTGCTGAAAAGTTTTTCTCCTTTAAAAGGGTTTCGACAGTTTTGAAGAGTTACAAGGTTTCGTCACCAAGGAAGAGATTCAAATTCAAAGGTTGTAACCTTTGGCAGTTGGACACATGGAGGTTTCAGAGAAGAAATTTACATGCAGGCTGACACTTGTCGTTTAGTTATAGTTTTTCCGTTCTAAGCAGTTATTTTGTTTGTGTATAAATAGGATAGTTTGTGGTTAGAATGTGTGTGTGAAAATTTGTACAAAATTCCTGTAAAAGCTCTAAGTACCCAGTGTGAGAGAAAATGAGCCTAGTATTTGGAACAATGTACGTTTAAACACCAGTTATATTTCAAAGTCATTTTAAATTACTTGTTTATTCTTCAAGTCCATGTCATTTTACATTTCATTTACTTTTCTGCAAGTTTTTAGCCTTTCGACATTTCTTTGTTCTTGTTTAAACTTTTAACCTTATTTCACCTTTAAGTTCAAACTTTCGTTACTTGCAAAATCAAAGTCCTTAATACTTTGACAATATTGATAAAACAAACCGCAAATTAGTCACCAAAAGTCTAAGAGTATTTCGACAGAACCAAATGCACATGTATCCTAGGACTTGTATGGTTGGTCCTGCAAGTAACCCAATTTTCTGAAGAAATTGGTTAACCAGAGGTTGTTCGCCAGAAAACACAGCGAACAAATTGGCACACCCAGTGGGACCAGTACATTTGATAAAATCTAATAGAAATTTTTAGACAAATTGTTCCTTGCTACGTTGTATGATTCTTAGAAGCGGTAAATTAGCCGTAACCGACGTAGAGAGACCAAAGAGAACAAGAAGAAGAAACATGGCTAACTTGCCAAATGCTTCAAATATTTCTGACGAAACCATTCCAGTTTCCAATCCTATCCCTTCGTCAGGAACAATACCAGTGTCTGGCCCTGTTTTAGAACAGATTAGGCCTCCTTTGGGGGATTCCATACCAACGGGTTCAGGATCCCAGAATGCGCCTAGTTCTTCCACCATGGGACACGCCAGACCCTTGGGAACCCCTCCCCCTGGAGGAAATACATTCAGGCCATATCTGAATTATTCTCAGCCTTTGACTGGGAGAGAACAACCGTACGGAATGCCAACTTCAATGATGGCAAGCCTACATAATTCGTCACCATTATTCTCTGATGCCATGGTTCAAGTGTCATCACCATTGCAAGGATCAGGATATGGTGGAAATGGAAATAGAATGAATCAAATTCCACCAGGTTTCCATATGCCCGCTATGACAAACCATTCTGCACAAGTAATCCGTCAACAGATGGATGAAAGCAATCATGATATGGTGCAGGCTTTGACACAACAAATGGGAGACGTGTTCAATCCCTTAATACA